ACAACGCTCAGCTTCCGCGTTTTAACTCCAAGTTTGCTTCTCCTGGTTGCAGCGGTGTCAATGCGATGGTGCAGGATTGGAGTACAGAGATTAACTGGGTTTGCCCCCCCGTGCGTGTCGTCGTGGACGCCGTTCGAGTTCTCACGGCTTGTTCCGGTCGTAGGACCTTGATTATTCCTGAACGGCCGTCGGCCTATTTTTGGCCTCTTTTACGTGATGAACCCTCGCGGTTCAAGTCATTCGTTAGAATGTTTTTTGTGCTTCCCGCTATAAAGGATCTTATTTTGGAGGGCCCAGGTCAGAGGCAGATCTATAAGTCTCACCAGTCCGTTTTTCACGGTTGTCCAAAATTCAGAATGTTGGCTTTGCGTGTGGATTTTGGGTGAGTTTTTGGTAATGTCACGAATAGTGTTCTGATCCTGATTTAGCGTATTTTGAGCCTGAATTGGCATAGTTTGAGCTTTATTTGGCGTTCTTTGAGTCAATGTGGTCTCGTCTCGCGTGTTTTGTGCCTAAATCGGTATTTTTTTGCTGAAATTGGTCATTAGCGAAATTAATTGTTTGATTTTCACGATACTTTCTTTTCTTTCAGGTGTGCTGACTTCCGGGATTTGGCTTGAAGCAGCCTCATTGTCCGATTCTTCTTTGAGTGACATGGTTCCTGGCCTTATTGATCTGCAATTAGATGCTAAGGCTCCGTCCACGGTGCTGAAGTACAAGTCTGGCTGGTTGCGGTGACGCGAGTGGGCTCTGTCGAAGATTGGCGTTCCCGTTATTCCAGGAAAACCTTTGCATATCGCATTATTGTTTATCCCTGAGCTAGCTAAGCGTTCTTCCAAGAATAACATCGGTGTATCTTCTATAGAATTTGCCGTTTATGCTATTAAGTGGGGCCACGCAATGGCCGGTATTGAGGCTTGTCCTGTTAGCCATCCATCAGTAAAGTTTGCTTTAGAAGGCGCCAAAAGAAGGCCTGTCCGACCTGTTCAGCCTAAGGAGCCACTGTCGGTTAGCACCGTACAGGCGATTGTTGCGCATTTTTCCTCAAGTGCTTCACTTTCCGATCTTCGTCTTTTGTTTATTCTTTAACTTGGTTTTGCAGGCTTTTTTGGCATTGAGGAGATTAGGAATATAGCACTTCGTGATGTCTCAATACATAGTGATCATATGCCAGTTTATGTGCCGCAGCGCGAAAACGACCAGTATAGGGAAGGCCACACTGCTTTTCTCGCTAGAACCGGCAAGGTTACTTGTCCTGTAGCTGTGACCGAGCGGTTGATTAAGCTTTCGCCACAGTCTTCCTCTGCGTTCCCATTAGTTCGCAGAATTGTCAAAGCTAAGTCTAGGGAGTATTTTCATTCTAGTTTGGGTGTTTCTGTTTCCACTTTAGGGGAGGAATTTAAGAAGCATATTAAGCCATTTGTTAGTGATATTTCTAAGTACGGCACACATAGTATGAAGTCTTGCGCGGCTTCTAATCCGGCTTGTAGGAAAATAGCTGGTGATTTGTTAGATATCCATACTGGTTGGAGGTGCGAATCCACTAAGCATAGGTATATTAAGCATGGTCTTAACGAACGTTTAGCCGTATCTAAGGAACTTTCAATTTAGTTGTTTATGATATTCGTATATATATTTATCATTATATTATTTTATACTTTCCAGTATTCGTTGGCGATTGTTTAATCGGATCTAGATTTTCGCTTTTGCTGACTTTGTAATTTTGAGTAATTTATGATATATAGAGTCCTGGCGGGGGACGTAAGATGTGCCTGGCCTGTCCCAGATTTTCTGTCCCTTTTTCCCTACAGGATTTTTGGGGCAGGTTTTTTCTGGTCACCTTGGTACACTTACATGTAGCTTTAGTTTAATTACCTTTGCTGTAGCTATGTTCATTTTTTGACTATTATTAAAGTGGGTTATGGCGTTACTCCCAGGCCATATCCAATATTCTCCAGTAATTGTTTGCTATTTGCGTTTCTATTAACTTCTATTAATTCTATTATTTCTATTAACTTCTGGTAAGTGCAGAACCTGAAAACCACAAACTAATTACTGTTGCTGGTTGTGGTTTAGGTTTCTGATGCCTTATTGGCTACAGTAAAATTCCGAAAATGAGCCCCGGGGCTTAAATTTTTCAAAGGCCCTTTTTGTGGGGCTTATCAGGGAAGTTTGCGTTTCAAAATCGATTGGGCTAGCCTTGTAGTTGGAAGTAAATTTACGGTTTCGGCTTTGTTTTACTTTGTATTTGAGGGCAATTTTCCAAGTACAAGCCCCGATGGGGCTTATATTTGAAGCGGCGTTTCAACGGGAGGTTTTTGCGTCACCGGTTTGGGGGGCTTATATTTGGAGGAGCTTATACAACACAATAACATTCCATAAATATTTCTGTTGTTCACGGTTTTGTGAGTTTCACAGTAAACAAACAAACAAACAAACAAAAAGGACAGCAAAAGACAAGTTAGCTCCACCACTTTAGCTCCTACCAAAAAAGCACAGCAAAAAAGCCAACAACAACAATAAAACAAAAGCAAAAAAACTCAAAGGATGACAACTGTGTATTTAACACAATGTCTTCACGAATAAACATCCCTGCTGCATATCATGAACCTGCCAAGGAACAGACGTTTTGCTGAATTTGGAAATGTTTAGTTGCAGATCTCTGAGAGTGCTATCCACCTCAGACGATCCTACCTCCCTTGACCACCTGATTGAAAAAACGTTGTCACTTGAAAAGTATAAACCACGAACGATGAGACTTAATGGATTTATTGGTAAGACTTGATTAGCATTGCAAATTTAAAGTTGCTTCCAAAAAGGTTTACATTATCGAAGCTTTTGGTGATGATGCATTCCAAAAAGGGTCAAACGGTTTCCAGTTTTCTTGGTGATAAGCTCATAATTTCACCTGTACAGGGTATCTCAGGGATCTCTATAGTTAAGGAGCGTTGCCATATGAAAATCATAAGATAGGACCTGAAAGCTTTCATCTTGGAAGACATAAAAGACAACGACAAAGTACTATAATTATATAGGGATTTGCATCCGCACGAGCAACTCGTGGCAATGTAACTCTTATTGAAAGAACTTTGAATTTGCGTTGCTAATGAACGTATACCCATAAATCTTTGAAGCCTCATCATTCATGGATTATACTTTTTAAGCGAAAACGTGTTTTCAATCACGTATATCATATTCAGCGTCATCCAATAATTGATTATTAAACCAAATAAACTAACATACTGTATGTTTCCCGGAATACAACTAGTGCACAGTCTTGCTCTCCTCCGAATTGTATATCTGATACTTCCAGTCCACTCACTACTTCCATGAACAACTGTAAGCCGTCCCTGGTAGTTTTTTTACTCAGACCTTTCACAAAAAGCCTCTTAGTATCAACTCGCAGTTTCTTGGTTGGTTTGCGCAGAGTGACCGTCAGCTTTGCGTTTTCAAGGGTGAGATTTTGTTTATTCAAAACTCCTCGTGCACCTTAAATAAAACATTAAAAAATTGTTAATGAACAAATCCCATAGAAATGCATGTCGATCGTGAAGGAAAGGGAATTATTGAATTATAGACGACAAGGGAACAACTAACTACGTGAGTGATATATTAGACTACGGAGTTACAAAAGCCAGAACTCCTTGTCTTTAGAAGCTTTTCATTCACATTATTCCTCAAACACCTTTTAAAAAAATAACACGAATTTTTTAACCATCGTGAGCAGCTTATTTTCTTTTTCACACTTTGTGCTGTCTTGTAGGGCCGGGGTGAGGGTTGCCCGAATGGATGTATTGTAGAAAATAAGGAACTAAGGAAATCAGGTGCCATTTTCTTCTTTATGAACGTTTTCCCATGTTGTATAAAAAGTGCACCTCGTTTCTGGTTGATTAATAGGGATAGAAAAGAAAAGAAAATAGAAATAGCGGATATTACACGGCCGCTTGGAGATACAAAATTTCTCTTCGAGTGAAATATTTTTTCAACACGAGAAAAGAAATTTCGTATCTCCAAGCGGCCATGTAATGTTCTTATAATTATTCTTCTTGTAATTATTATATAAACACCAATGAAATACCAAACCATTTCATTTTAATAGTTTTTTGGTGTGAAAGGCGCGATTTATTATGTAGTCATAGCAAAGGTGATATTTTCACATGTGAAGATAACGTGTTATTTTCATATGTGACGATATTAAGTTTTCGCGCGAAAGCTCACCTGGTATTTCATTGGTGTTTATTTAATAATTGCCCCCGCAAGGATTTCGCCTAGAAGGCATAATCCCGAGGAGGCACTCTGGTAACTCGCGCGTGTATTAAGGAAAGTACTTACAGTTGAAATATACAGTCAGTATGCCAGAAAAATTCTCGATTTGTTTGAACAGGGGCCGCGAGGAATCGGTAGGTAATGATGACGTTTCTATTGTTTTCGCCCGCAAGTACGAAATGGTTAGGATGAGGTAAAGACAGAACATCCCCAAGGGACCGCTTAGGTAGATTTTGTGACATTTATTGTGCAGTAATGCTTCGATACTCTTTTGCGTTACATGTTATCAGTGACCTTCTGTGGAGCAGTTGTTTTGAAAGTTATGGACCAAAAAACACTCGTTAAGCGCAGATGAAGTTATAAAGAGCGTATATTTGTGTATATATGAACACTTGGAGAGTTTGCCAGACACAAGGTCACAAATCTTTGATTGGAAACCTTGCCAGACACTCTTTCTCTCTCTTTGACCGGAATAAGACTCATCCCCAAAGAAGCAAGACGAGTGGACAACGGCTAGTTTATCACTAGCAGAACGATGGACGATTACAGAAATTCGCCGACAATGAAGCACGCGACTGACCGAACACAAACGACAGAAACGAGCGACGAGGAATGGTGACGTCAACAATCACATTGCTGAGCACCATTTACACACGAAACATCCACGCGACTCTGCGACATGTACAACGTATTCTACAGACTACTATCAACGTCTTACTGTAGAAAGCTGGTTTACTAACTTAGGACAAACGCCACTGAATCGTAGCCAACAGTCACCAGCGCCGTACAGACGACCTATTGACGACATCCAGCAAAGCTAACTACGAGAGAACGACTAAAGAACTGACAATTTGACCAACAACTGTTTAACTGTGACAATAGACGGATCGAAACGCGCCAATTACTGATTACGAGTCTTCATAGCCAATAACATCACCGCTTAACTGACAGACGACCAATAACATCGCGACGTAATTGACCAATCAGATCAATAACCAGAGTATAATACCATCAACTGACGTGATACAACTCCCTTTGACTCTGAAGATGACTACCGCACAGATTGTCGAAACGCCAGTCACTGTCAACAGCAACAGTCCTATTCAGGACTACGTTCACCCTGACGATCAAACTCAACCTACTTTTGAAATTACTCGAGGGTTCAAACCTTTTACAATAAAATTCTGTGCTGATTCATTCCCTGCTTACGGATGTCCTTCCGCTATAAAGTTTAAAATAAGACTAGAATGCGCGAGCGTGAATTGATCAAACGTCTTTTTAATTTCTAAGGCTTACTTTCCGGCAAATAAAATGAACTGAATGTAAAAAGTGAAAGAGAAATAGCGAAAAATTCAACTTCTAATTAAATCTTTTCTTATGGTTTAGAATAAACTATTCTCGAAACTGAGAATGTCTTGATCAAAGCTTTGTAAATCAATCTGAATTAGTGCATGGAACCTTGCGTTTCCTGTATTTATCGCACCTATTACATGTCTCGTATGGAATATGACTTGTGTGAAAATCTTCATTATGAATCGGTATATTTCAAAGAGCTGCACAACGAGCAAGAACACTATTGACTGACAATATACAGTGCGGGGGCAGCTGTAGTGTCAACTATTACTAGTAATAATTCCCTAATAGGGCCTAGTTTCGGATATCAACAAACTCACTTTCAGCTAACTTAAACGTTATGACAGCAAATCCTTCTTCAGGATTGAATTCCACGCTATCTATATCTCCGCCGCCGGATCGCCGAGTGTTTTCAAAAAAGTTTCTGATAGAATCTTTGGCTGTTGTCGGAGCAAGCCCATTTAATTCAATGGTGCGAAATTCTTCCATATCTTCTTGGTCAGTCTGCTCAGCTGGCTGGACGCTTACTTTAATGGCTAGGGAAGCTCCATCCAGGCAATGCTGTCGACGTTGTAACACAGTCTTCAGAACTAAAAGTGAAGAAATCGAAAGATTAGTTGTTTGATTTTTTTTCACTTTTAGGTAGCGAAAACTCAGAATGTGTACCATAATTATCTCAATTGCTCACTTCTTTCTCCGTTCAGTTTTTAACAGGGTGAAATCTTGGAAGGGTCTGACTTAGTCAGACTGTGCGGTGTCAAGAAAGAAGGTTAAAAACTGCATGTCCAAACAACTCTTACGGTAAGGTGTGTGTGGGGAGGGGGAGTGAGGAATATTCTTTACACTGTAGTTTGATATGAGGATGAGCCAGAAAGACTGGATACTATTAAAGGCAGAACCTTTCTTCACGACTGTGGGCTTTCATCTCTTAAGTTCTGACGGGTGATCTGAGATTGAAAAAGTGTCCAGGTCGTCAGTGTCACAGTAGTGTGTTCCTTGTGGATATGAAACGTTGTCTTCATATTAAGCGGGTTGATTTAAAGGAAAATATATATATTTTTGTCAAGGCAAAGAAAACGGTTTGATATAAAGAAATTCCGTACAGAAGGGGTTCTAAAACGCAACTGTATATAGCGCTGCTAGCGACCTGTGACATCTGTAAAAGGCCTAAATGCAATAAACGACCCTAAATGTAATAAAGTCCTAAATTTAATAACGTTTTTTATTATGTAAACACCAATGAAATACCAGGTGAGCTTTCGCGCGAAAACTTGATATCTTCACATGTGAAAATAATATGTTATCTTCACACGTGAAAATATCACCATTGTTATGGCTTCATAATAAACAGCACCTTTCAGACCAAAAAACTATTTAAGTAAAATGGTTTGGTATTTCATTGGTGTTTATATGATAAATAGAATATTACATGGTCGCTTGGAGATACGAAATTTTTCTTCCCGTGTTGAAAAAAGTATTTCACTTGTTCGCTGCGCTCACTCGTGAAAGATTTTTCAACACTTGAGGAGAAATTTCGTATCTCCACGCGGCCATGTAATATCCTCTATGTCCTAAAGGTAATAAACTCTTAAGTTGCAAATTGCAGTAATTACTCAAATAAGCGCTGCATTTGGGGAATTTAATAAGCGCCGCGGCGCTTATTCGCATAAATACGGTACTAAGAGGTATTACCATGGTTGTAAGCGCCGCCCTCAAATAAGCGCTGTATTTTTGGAGAAAAAATTTAATAAGCTTCGGTACATTTCCTAATTATGCACTGTGTAACTTGACGTTTACAAATTTTGATACTTCATTTTTGTGAAAACCGAGAAATTCACTGCAAAAACCGTGGACGAAAATCCTGTTGCTTGTCAACGTTGGATCTCTAGAAAAGAGATCTAATCAGCTAAAATATTAAGAACAAAAAACGAGAAGACTAAGGGCTTGTTTACATGGACGTGGGGGACCCCAGGTAGGTGAGGTAACCCGCTTTGGTGGGTAACCCGCCTGTCCACATAATCTCTCATTTTAATTTGATCACGTTTAGATAATAAGGGGGGTAACCCGCAGCATGTTACCTCACCTGTCAGGGGTCCCCCACCTCCATGTAAACTGGCCCTAAAGACTACTGCACAGCTGATAATGAATAACTAAAATAGTACGCGCGCACCCTGATTGGCCAAGAGATGTGTTTGCATGAGAGTATGTAAACATGTGTGGAGTCAAGATATTTTGCTCTTCGCGCGCTAATCACACAAGCACGAATTTTAAAATGTTTTTGAGTTGAAAACGCGACAAATTTACTTTATTTACCCATTCCCTCGTCGGATGAAACTTGGGAAATCTTTACGAACATGCTGTACCAATTTTTCTTCGCTTAAGCTGACATTTTAAGCGAGAAAAAGCCTTTTATGGAAAGCATCTTTGTTGCAAAACAAGAACTGATTACAGGTACAATTAGCTTCGCGTACAAGACTTCGCGGCCGGTAAGAATTTCTCTTTTATCAGTAACCTAAACAAAGAGTTTTTCTTTTTTCTCGGGAAAATTATTTTATAGAAGCAATAGAGACCTTTTTCCTGTGTTTGCATAGCCTGATATAAACACTCGAGGGGTTGGGAGAATTCTCGACTTCGTCTCGGGTTTGCATAACTGTCTCGAATTCTCCCAACCCCTCGAGTGTGTCAATCAGGCTATGCAAACACAGTTAAAAAGTTTTCCAGTTGCTTAAATATTGCTTTTTTTAGAAAAATTACTGTTACTTTGTCGTTTACAAGCAATTTATTTATAAACGTTAAGTTTCACAGTGCATAAGCAAATGTACCGAATTTACGCGAATTAGCGCCGCGGCGCTTATTAACTTTTTATCCGAAAATACGGCGCTTATTTGAGAGCGGTGCTTAATACCATAGTAATACCGTTTAGTACCGTACTCATACGAATAAGCGCCGCGGGGCTAATTAACTCCCCCCCGCCAAATGCCGCGCTTATTTGAGGGCGGTACTTATTCGAGTAATTACTGTAATTGGCAACTTAAGAGTTTATTACATTTAGGGCAAATTGGTATTACATTTAGGACAAAATGTTATTACTTTTACGACTTAATTACATTTAGGGTCGTTTATTACATTTAGCCCTTCTACAACCGTCAATCAGGATGGTTTTGGATTTTTATATTTTGATAAAAATTTAAAAACCCTAACTTTACAATGTGTTTGCGGAAAATGACTAGCTGCCGATAAGTGGAAGGTCTGGTTTAAAGACATTTAGACAAAAATCTTGGAAAAAATCGTTGAGAGGGTGGGGTGTACATCTGAGGGTTGAACGAAAGAAAGCCAATAGGTCGCAAGACCAACAAGTGAGGATATTAAGACGGTTTAAAATGCATAAATAGGTGGAAACATTTCAAAGTGCACAATCGGTGCAGGTTCGAAATACGACCACTCCCAATAGTTTGGTCATGCTCCTATAACTGCAGTTTCACATCTTTTCAATAGTACCAGGAGTATGGGCTCCTGATAGTACACAATGTTTCCTGTGTTCTCTTTTTCCTGTTTTCGCTCTTCCTGGCTAACTGAGGTCTTAGAGCAGGGTACACAATGACTTACCATTTGCATCCTCGAAGGTCACAAAAGCCGTGCCTGTTTCACGTTGAATAGTTACACTTTCTACCGCTCCACCACCAGATCGCCGCCCGTTTTCAAAATAGTTCCAAAGGGAGTCTTCAGTGGTTTTTGTTGCAACACAAGTGACCATGATGGTCTTGGCAGCTTCCTTATGTTTTTGAGACATTTCTTTGGTAACTTCCAGAGTAGCTCCATTCAAAGTGTGCTTGTCTTTTTCAACAAAACGTTTGGCCACTAGAATAACAGGATTTTATGTTGAGGTTTAGTCAATTAACACACCCATAGAATTATTATCAGGAACATAAGAAAGGTTGAGTGACTACTTGAAATAAAATTCGTTCTTTCTGTACTATTATAAACTATTGTTGAGGTACGATTTCAAATTCAAATTAGTTCACTGGTAAGCAAATTGATGCGCAAATTACGCATTGCCACAAATAAAGCTGTTACCTTTTAGAATACGATAGTTTTCTTTAAAGTTTATGGCTTTCTTTTCGTCGTTGCTGCTGTTTTTTTAGCATCATTACAGTTACCTTTAAAGTAGTCTCATCTCGGACAATAAAACTGTTTTAAATTTGTAGAGAAATTGTGTGCTTCAAATTACCTTCTGATGATTCAAACTCGACTCTTGCTGAAATTCTGTTGATTTTCAGTTCCTTAACTAGCCCGCCACCTGACCTCCTCGTGTTTTCCAAATAGTTCCATAGACAATCCTCAGTTGTATTCTTGGAGAGTCCACGGATGATAACAACACTGGACTGCAAGTGAAGGCAACAATTCAACGCAATGAAATCTTTAGTTTTCCTGAGGTTTAAGACCAGTATAAATAATTAGAGCCTGTCTGCTGTACGATAAAAAAGAACACAGATCTTTAATAATTCGATCCTAGTTATGATAACCTGAGAAACACCAACGACGTACGAGAGACCTTTGCCAATCGTACAAAATTGCCGATCTGACGATTCACTTTTAGTCCGGCGCTTTAGTTAGAAATTTTCAGTGAATTGTGCACTTTTAGATACAAGCATGAAATTTGGCACACTGATAGCAGTCACCAATACAAGCAATTTCAGATATAGTGCTAAACCGGAATTACGATGGTTTCCATAGAAACCGCAATTTATTAAAATTCATAAAAAAATTATGAATTCAATTCGTTAAATTATTTGTCTCAGTTTATCAAGACATAGTATCGTTTCACTCTGTCAACCCACCTGTTTACCACTTACATCTTGTTTATAACACGCTATTGCACCTTAACTATGCGATGCCATGGCAACGATAAGCACAATTTAATTCTCCCGTCTCATAAAATGAAGTTAAGTCTTGTTCAAAAATTAGGTATCCAGCACAAGAGTCGTGCCGTTTCCAGTTAACAGGACACTGAGGGTTTTCAGTTGTTTCCTTCTGGCAAATAACACCTTGTCACCAGTCGATTGCTTGAGGCAGCGACCTGTTTAGTTAATTTTTTTAAACCGATGTTTTTCTCTTTTACATGACTAGAATAGTTTCATTTTCTAGCTAAACCGAGTCGCACGCATATTTAGAATGAGATAGCAGAAATTCTTACCATCGCAACCAACTCAACCAAGAGAAAAGAGAGAAAAAGCATGTGCAGACACTTTCCAAAATATGGCCTGCATTTAAATATATGAAGAGAGGAAAATAATAACTATTTGCATCCAAATTTTAAACATGATCTGTATTGTTGTAACTGTATTTTGAAATAAAACGTCTTCCCCGGAAACCACATCTTTCACCTCTCCAACACGAAATTGATCCATCTCTTTCTTCTCTTCTTCTTTATCGGGCACTATATCAGGAAATCACCGGCCACGGAATGTAAATACTCCTACAAAGTATGTAGCCTGCGAACAACTGTCGCATTTCCCGTCGTCGCTTCTCTCCCTCCGAAAAATAGCTTTTTTTTCGAAGGCTACAAAGTATGGCGCTTGTATCAAAAATCGCATAATTTTCTAGCTAAGCCGCCGGACTATTGGGACAAGACAGATACATCAGTGCCTTTATCAAAGCGAAGGTGAAGCCATAGGGGCCTCGTGAATGTCGTCTTTTTGTATATTGATTTGATTTTAAAGTTAAAAGTAAGTTCAGATTTGAAGGTTTCAAAGTTTTGGTCTAGCTCCTTGAAGATCTTCATCTGCAGATCGAGGTTTAAAGCGGCTGACAAAGAACTTCATAATTAACATGATTCCTGGAGCCCGAATGGGCTCTGAGTCAATAGCCCATGCACGAGGCCGAAGGCCCAATAGGCTATTGACTCAGAGACCATGAGGGCGAGAGGAATAATTGATTTAGTAAAATCCAAAAAGTTGGTAAAAAATATCGAGACAAAACAATTTTAGCTAACAAAACGCGATTCAGCCGCCATAGTTTTGGTTTTCAAAGCTGGCGCTTTTCGCTACTAATGGGCTATAACATCTAGCCTAGTAGTCGCTCAATCAATCAGAACGCAGCATTGATAATAGACCACTAGTTGGATTTTACTAATAACATTTACACGTTTTATTCCTTAGTTGTGACCCTAAGCTTATAAATTCAAAAAACCCGCTATATTCCTTCATATTGCTCCACTGTATAGCAGACTTTTTTTCTTAAAGTGACCCTTGTAAACGAGAAAAGCTGAATTAAAGAGCTCTTAGGAGTGTAATCCGAGATACCAACAATTACCAATCTGTGTAGCTATATAGTACATTAAAATGTTCTCTTCCAAACCAATTAGTATTTTTTAATTTTATCGCAGTGACCAACCTGTAATTCAGGTTCCTCACTAGTGAACGGATGGTACGACAACTCAACTTGTGCACCATCAATGATATGTTTTCTGAGAGTCACATTTATAGCATCTACCAAGAAAAGAAGAGAATATCGTTACCATGTTAAAGGTTGCTGCTCTCTGTGAAACTTGGTAGATATCTGTTATCATTATACATTGTCCTCACTATCTTTCTTCTCATTTGCTAAGAACCTACAGTTAATTTTGGAAATCAGCGCAACCTACAGATTAGTTAGTTATCTGTTACAAGATTAGTGACAAATCTGTAGGTTGCGCGCGCAATGCATGATTTCAAAGACCAATGTCCACCACTACTTCGACCTTTATTATTCCGGATATCACACTGAAAATCGCCTCCAATAATTGTTTAGACCTGAGTGGTTCTCAAGAACAACAACAAGGCCTCATTGATTGCTTATTATTTTGGCCGATGCAGCGTAAGACCATCCAATTTAAAGCACAAAGTAATAACACCCTGAATCTACCAAGTTAATAGTTGATATATCCTAGGAATATTTTTCTTTAAAAAAAGCTTTTGAGTTTTTTGCCCAAATAGTTGCAGCAAAAGTCAAAATTTTACGACAATCGACAAGGAGGAGAGCGATTTGAGGAAAATGTTTGCGCTTATGCACAAGTAACGGATTGTTTCCTCAATGAAATAAACAGACGATGTAATTTTAGGGCTTTGGTGAAATTAAAATTTGTGTGCTTGATAGTTTATTTTCCGGTCATTTGTAAAAAACGAAAGGTGAAATTACCTCGTGATGACTCAAACTTGACTCTTGCTGTATTTCCAGTGATTTTGACTTCCTGCACTGGTCCGCCGCCCGAACGCCTAGTGTTTTCCAAATAGTTACACAGGCCATCCTCAGTTGTATCCTCTGAGAGTCCACGGATGAAAACAACACTGGACTGAAAGTGAATTTGGGTAACAGTGAACATATAAACGAAGTTGAGACATATTGGGTAGGTTATTTCAACAAAGTCTACCTTAGACCGCGACTTAGGCAATCTTTGAACCTCCAGATCTCTTTCTTAGTGGGTTAATGTTATTTTGAGAAGATCATGCTTTTCCAGTCTACGCCGTATACTGTCATGAAAAATTTAATGTTAACGATAAATTGTGTTTACGTCATGAAGCGTTCCGCAAACTGAAAATGGCTTAGAACGGGGTTTTGTTAAACACTACCTAAACCCCGTTTAAATAACTGGCCCATTCGTTTTACCAAAATCATCTACCGTGCGGACGCTTGTCGATTAGGTTATCATACTTATTGAATCAAAATGTTAAACCAAAGACTTGATGTTGCGTTGCATTTGCCAAAAGCAAGTCCAACCTAGGAAAATGAGCTATACTGGCAACTCCTTGAAAATTAAATTTTTATAGTTGCCTTAATCTTGGAGCATTGTACGTCAGATGGATTATTTAAGGAATAGGCCAAGGAGTTTCCTGTTCCCCGGGCCTTTACCCTTTTCACCTGAACTTTGTACTTCATACTAGAGTCATGAGCGATGAGCACTGTTTCTACAACAGGTTGCTCCTGAGTGACTAACCTGAAACCTTTTAAAAACCTGACACATCGTTACCCTTGGCCTGGAAACCAAGTTAGGACAATCATGGAGTCATTATTGCTTTTACGTGAGAGATTTCTCTTCAGTGGCTGACCTGACTTGATGATAATTGAGAGTTTTCCTCGGTGAACGGATGGGATGACACCTGAACCTGTACTCCGTTGACCGTATGCGTTCTCAGAGTCACTTCTCTAGCAACTACCAAGAAAGAAATGCTGTTATTTTTGCCTTTTGCTTGAAGGGGGTGTGTCACTGAAGGCTGGTTCATTTTGCTTATAATCCAAATTACATGTCCTTTTTAGCTACCGAACTTGAGAAATCAGTAGTGAATGATAAAATCACAGCTCCGTGTCAAACTAGTATGTCTCCGAGAGCATTATATAGAAACTTTACGAACAACAAAAGAGAACTTTGGAAAACTGTTAGGCTAACAAGTTTTCAAAAACTGTAATTGCAATCCGTTTAAATTTTCTTCAAGTTTGACCATCCGTGCCTCCTTATGTGTGGTATTATTAAATCCCTTCTTCTAATTTTTTGAGCGGTTATTTTATGTTTCAATCAGTTTAGTGGAAGATTTCCACTGTTTGAATTTTGATAAATTTCGCGACACACCTTCTTCTATTTACCCAATATTACTTACGGTTTTCAAATGTGTTTTGAATTCGTTATCACTTAAACTTTCTAGATACCTGTTACACAACTACTACAATTTTTATTTCGCCCTCAGATAACCAGAACCTCTAAACCTTTAAAAAGTGTAGCAAGAAACGTAACCGACTTTGCGTAGATAATCTTGGCTGAATTATCAAATGTGATCTAGATTTTCGGAACTCTAATACTAGTTACTAAGAGTGGCTTTGAATAAAGCGCATTTTAACCTCTACGCTGATCACAAAATTGACATGCTCATGTGTGACTTCATGAGACATAAATTCAGGATCTGAAAAACAGGGTTTTATTCATGTTTATCCCTTTCTCAAGGTCGCTATTGTTGTTGCATCGCAGCGCAAGGCATCTTACTGGCATGTTTTACCTTTTACCAATAGTTTAATTTCAGTTTGTGAATAAGAAGAAATATTTCTAGAACTCCAAACTTGTTTACTTGTATCTAAAGTCACCTCTTCCTTAATTCACGTTTCTACCGATCCTTGCAAAAGGTAACTATGATTACCTTCCGATGTCTCAAACTTGACTCTTGCTGAATTTCCAGTTATTTTCAATTCCTCCACTGGCCCTCCACCTGAACGCCTCGTGTTTTCCAAATAGTTCCACAGGCCATCTTCAGTTGTATTACCGGAGAGTCCACGGATGAAAACAACACTAGCCTGAGGGTGAATGTATGGGTGACAGAAAAAGTAGACGAAATACGCAGTTAAGAACATTCGTTAAGCTCCCAGCAAGATGAATTTATTGTACCTCAATAGTCCAAACTCTTAAGGGAAAGACGTTACCGCTAATTACGTGACAACTCGTGTATAGGTTAGAAAGTTTCCTCTTGAGGATGAGGTATCAAGGGAAGGGGCCCTGGAGCTCAGTTCTATACCTTTCAGCCCACCCCTGCTTTCTCCACTTATAGGAACGTTAGAGCGAAAGATCTATTCCTTGAAAAATCATAAAGTGATCTTTGCATTTGTCTACGTGACTTTGTTGTCACGGCATCGCATAATACAAGTATCGTATCGTAATCAAAAGATGGTTTACTTCTCGTGACTTTTGATGATAGGTTTTCCTCTACTAAAACCTTGACTTATTTGGTTTTAAATAATGTGCGACCTTTTTAATCTTCCACGTGATAATTTGGTCGCGGGGCATCGCTTATTCGCCCCCAAACTTGCCAAAATCCCGAAAATCATACTTACCCCTAATTACCTTAAAACTGACTTGTATTAGGTTGTCGCAGCCGATCACCTTTTCCGCGGCCCTAAAAAGTTTGTTTTAATTGCCTCTACACCTCTATTAAAAGGTCACTTTGTCAATATGTACCAAGCAAGCTACGTTAGTGAAACACTGCATGGCGTGTAGCGGTTGTTTACTTCCTTTCATTTGTCACAAGAAGAGGTAGAAATTTAAACTGACTTAATTTGTTGTGTGACGGATATGTTGCTCAGTTTTCATCTTCATTTTCCTTCAGTGATTAACCTTTAGAATTGTCACTACGTTAAGCCGGCAGGTGCCCATTCGCCAAGAGTGACCGTTAAATACAGGTTTGATTGTAGCGTCCCACACCCTTCCACAAAATTATACTAAAATAAAAAAAGAACAACTGTGGAAACAAACAAACAAAAAAGGAGAAAGGAAAAAGGAATAACCATATAGCCTGGGTAGCATGCGTTGCCGCACAAGTTCATCGGAAATTTGGGACGAGAGCAAAAAAGAGAAATGAAGGGGGAGGAGGAAGGGAGGAAAGGAAACCTCTCTTTGTCACAATCCAGATGCCTCTTTATGTTGTTAAAAGGAAAACACACAGAAGCTGCGTATTGAAATTTTTCAATAACCTGGTCCATTTTTACCCTTGACACCGCCCCTTTAGGGTCTTTAGGGGCAATAATGAAGTCACTACTGCGTTCACAAGAGATTTCACCTCAATGACTGACCTGATTTGGCTGTGATTCAGAGTTTTCTTCGGTGAACGGATGGCATGACACCTCAACTTGTGCTACGTTAATACCATGTGTTCTAAGTGTTAAATTTTTAGCATCTGCCAAAAGAACAATTCTATCGTTACTTATCTCTTTAATGTTATTTACCTTATAACTGTGTACCTATTCTTGCTGAAACTCACTGCTTAAACCATAAAAACTATAAAACAGAAAGGTTCAAGCCTCTTACTAAAGCTTTGCTAGTCTCAGTGCACAAGCTTAAAATACATGTATTAGTTGTGTAGCAAGAAACGTAACCGACTTCATTTTGCTTAAATATTCTCGGCTAGTGATCAAATGTGTTGTGTACTACAAGAAATTAGAAAAAACGAATGCGTTTTTAACAAAACGGGGTTTTTAGCAGTTTTTGTTTGTTTCCTTTGTTTTGTTTTTACAAAATTTTTAAGTCTAAAGTTCTTAGGTAGACCTTCCACTCTGATCACAAAACTGAAAGGCTCATGTGTGAAGTCATGAGACATAAATACAGGATTTTATTCATATCAAGACAGGGTAAAGGGGACAGAGAAGACATCCCCCATACACACCCTATTCCATAGGTAATTCGTCTCGAGTTATTTTTACAATCGGGATAAAGTTACCTCGCGCGCTGCGTGGATGGAGGTTTCGCATGACTAAACGCCGTGCTAAACATGTCGGGCGAAAGGCAATGAAAGCGTAAAGAGATCCAGAGCATTCCTGAATATTGAAGCGAAATGAGTCGGCGCTCACCTGGGAAAAGGGAATCGCTGGACTCTTTGACAGCCCATGAAATCAGTTTAACTCGAAGTTGCCGTAACCTCAGTGCTTTAATAAAATGAGAAATCTCGCCAGTCTATTGAAACCTGTCGTTTGTACAATAAAGCAAGTAGGACGCCAAGTGTTATTTTTGTTCAATAATGAAAGACTAATAAAAGAATAAATATCAAACCAGAAATTACTCTCTTCAAACTGTAAATTATAAATGATCCTGAGAGAATATTCAGTGTTAAGGATTTCCCCACTGTACTGTTATCTCTATACAAGAGATCGAGGAAGGGCGATTCTTTCTTAATTTCCTTTTCGCTGACACAGCTTTAGCAGAAATCTCTCTGTAGTCGTTTTCGTCAACAACACGGACAGCAATATCGCTGTCCGCGTCTTCCGCCATTTTGTTCTGCGTCAAGTCGTGAAAGGCGCGTGGCTCTGAGCGTGGGTCATCCACGCGAAACACATTCGCGCTATGTGATTGGTTGTTGTCTAATCCCCCTTGAGATTTGTGCTGTTAAAAATAACTCGAGACGAATTACCTATGGAATAGGGTGTGTATGGGGGATGGCTTCTCTGTCCCCTTTATTCTCTCTTGATTCATATTTATCCCTTTCTCATGTTCTTCAGTGTTGTTGCATCTCACTGCAACGTATCTTGCTGGTATGTTTTACCTTTTTACAGCAGTTTCAATTTGTGAATTAGAAGAAATATTTCTTGAACTCCAAAACTCTTTACTTGTATCTCAAGTCACGAGTTCCTTTATCCGCGTTTCTGCTGTCCTTGCAAAAGATGTAATTACCTTCTGTTGATTCAAACTTGACTCGAGCTGAATTTCCAGTGATTTTTAATTCCTCTACTGGCCCGCCACCTGAACGCCTCGTGCTTTCCAAATAGTTGCACAGGCTATCTTCAGTTGTATCCTCGGACAGTCCGCGAATGAAAACAACACTAGCTTGAGGCTGAATTTGGGTAACAGAGAAGAAGAGAATATTTGTTAAGCCCTCCGCTAAATTGCCTATCTCACTCGAGTGAGATGAATTTATCAGCTTATCGCAACTCAAAAAAATTAATGCGTTGACCGAAAGCATATTAGTTCAACTCAACTGGGAAAGACAATTATCGCCAATTAAAACTGCAACTGTCAATCCATGCGTAGGTTTAGAAAGTTTTATTTTGAGAATTTTACTTCAGAAATGGAGTATCAAGGAAAGAGGCCTTGTGGCTTTCTATAGCCTTTTGCCCAGGCCTATCTTCTATTTTCCTTGACTAGGCAGGCTACAGCGAAAAACGTTACTTGGAAAATCATTAAGTGTTCTTTTAATGCACCTACGTCACTTTGTGGCCGATCACGTTATCGAATAACAGAAGTATGGTATCGTAATCAAAAGATGGTTTACTTCACTCGGCGTTTGATCGTAGGTCATGCTTACTAAAACCTTAAACGGTTTTTAGCGGAGCTCTCGCGCGCGAAGCGCAGCCCCATGGTTAAGAAAATGTGGTAAACTACCCATCCGAGAAAATTTGGGATCACGTTACCCTACACCGACCGACCGCCCGACTGCCCAAGAGTCCTTCCACACCACAGACATACCAATGTAAAATAACTCAATCAACAGGTATGGCAACCGAAATGCAACAGAAGGTTTTATTTGGAAAGAAATCGCATGGCCGTCCGGACTTTAAGAAAGTAAAAACAACAGCAAAGTCGTGTCTTTTTCGACGTTATTTTTGATGTTTACACTCACGTGGATAACTGAGAAAGAGCTAGAGAGAGTGATTGAAAACAAAAGAGACGAATTTTGTAGGAAAAAAA